ACCAGTCAGACCATCAGAAACGACGCACCTTTCCCTGTCAAAAAGATAGGTCAGAAGGAGTAGGGGCATGATCATTGGTATAAAAAGATAGGAAGGGTGGAAAAAGTGTAGAAAGGGACAACGCAGGGAACACAGGTGAGTGAGTGGGGACAGAGAGAGGTTAGACAGGAGCGAGAAAGGGACAAAGATAGAAAATTAAAGATGGAACACCTGGAGTCAAACTGAATATAGTCCAACGCCCAGAGCATGCAAGTGTAATATGTAATCAATATATTTTCACATTATTCTTATTGCCATTATTGTATTGTGGCATATTTGTCAGCATAAATGGTGAATAGTTTCTATCTTTTATTTCAGAGTAGCTGATTTGTCCCATCTAGTTTTGCACAAAAGTCAGATTAATGTCTGAATGCCCATATTTGATGCTATTGTGAGATGTCCTATTGACCCACAGAAGAGTCAGCTCGCTGATTGCTTGTTACAGTTCTTCAGCATTTAAGTTTCTTTTCATCGCATTAAGGGGGAATTTCATTCACTTTAGCAAAATTCACATCGGAGTCTCGAAAGAAAGGACTACAGTTTGAATTGAAATTGTACTGATCTCAATGAGCTGTGTCCTCTCTGAAATTGTCTGTAAGATGTGGCATGTTGGACTCTGGCTTCTCATTAACATTGTGGCTGAAAAGGCACACCACACACACACATCACACTACACACAACCCTTCCCCTCCCTCCCCCAGATTTTGTTCTGCAGAGATTTTTCTTTTGCTGTCCTTTTAAGATGTTATCCATATTTATTTTGTATTGCTTTTTATATTCAGTTCACTAGAACTGAAGGTCATCATGTATAGTGTGAAGAAAGAAAAAAAAATAAAAAATAAAAACAAGGTGCAGTTAATGTAATTATTTCTGCCAAAGTTAAATGAATTTCTGTATAAGGGCTTTGGACATATACATGGGGTGCTTCAAGCTTATATAAATGACACATTAGAAATATGCTGGGAAAAAATGTTTTAAAAAATATAATAAAAACACTAATTTGCTGTGTGTTCTTACTATTTGGACTTAACTCTGTGTAGACCAGAAAGTGTCCAGGACAATCCGGACGCTCTCATGTCAATTACTGAAGTCTGAGCTTATTCAATAAGCTCTCACCTGTGGATTTATTGGATATATAGTTTAGCACTTGTCAGCAACTCTATAGGGTGAATGTATTTGATGTCTAAGTTGAAAGACAAAAAGTCTCTCTAAAAACCATAACCGATTTTTTTTTATTTTTTTTTTTTTTTAAATAATGTTTGCATCTGGTTTTGGCACACAACATGTTAACCTAAGACACTTTAGACAGGCTGACTATGGCCGAGTGAGTTGCACATACAGTGTAAAAACTGTGGCTGTCGGGTAATTTAACTATTTAATACCCTGATAATGGAATAATATAAAATGTTTGTGTTTTTTTCATACATATGTCTGATCAAATTGCGTGCACGTAGCCTGCCCCTAATGGACTCCAACAACTATCATCCTTGTTGAGATTCTGGTTGAGGCCAGGAAAGTTAAAATGGGCAACTGATGTAATGAGTGGGACACGCTAAACAGCTTTATATTAAATGTAAACTCCAAACAGCCACATCTATTGGTTGGCTGAGACTGATAAGTGTTTAGTCCATAGTACCTTTATATAGCATGTTGCCATTTTAAATGGCACATGAAAAAATAATACTTAAAAACTGCACTTGAACTAATACAGGTCTAAAATATTATTTTATATTCCTATCTCAATAACACCACTCATTTCTATGAGAAACGTTTGACAGGGTATTTGTACTCGATGCTTCTCTATGAGAAGCATTTGATTGGGCAATGCCTAGCATTAACAAAGAAGAAGATATTTTGATTGTTTAATTTCATACCAGTGTATGTTCTAACTTTGTTTAAAATTGGGCTAAAGAATGTCAAAATCAAAAAACAAGAACTTAAGTGCTGGGGGAAAAAAAGAGGAAAAGAGGGTGAATCTTCATTAGCTGCAGAAGCCAGTTTTGCGGCTGATGAAATGTGCATTTTTTGACACAGAGTTTCCCTTTAACCTTGTGGGGGCCAGTGAGTAAGCACTGTATTGTGACCAAATGAGAGTGGCAGAGTCAACACAGAATGAATTGGTAGTGTCCTGTCATGCAGATGGTCGAAAATAAACCAATATGAAAGATCCCTTAGTAAAATTGTACGCCTCCATTCTCAGCAGATGGCACTGATGACTAACGTTTGGATCTCTGCTTAATTGAATGGAGAGCCACTGATAAGCCATTAACAGAAAAGGACTGATATTATTGTAATAGTCAAAGTGACAATAGAAAGGAAAAATTAGCTAGATAAAGTTCTAGTTCTAGAGACAAAAAGAAATTACTGCTGAAATATTTTATAGACGGACACTTAATTTAACTAGAGTAGTAGAAATATAGTGAATTCATAACGTTATTTTAATCTTACTTTTTTTTTCTATAGAGAACAAGTTATTAAGCAATCCACGGAGCTGGTTTTCCGAGCCTATGGTGAACTCTACGAAGCTGTTATGAATCCTTCCAATGGGTATAAGGATCCCACGAGTATTCTTCATAGATCCCCACAGCAAGTCCAGACGTTGCTTTCATAAACACTACCATGATGATATAATCTCTACTCTGAAAATAACTATGTAACATATGTACCGTAATTAAAATTGATTATACCTACCAGCGCAGTTCAGATTAATTTTTCTTTGCTGTGTGTAATAGATAATACTTGTTATATCCTGCAAGCAATGTGAGTTGTGGCACACAAACAATAAAATAGATTTTTTTTTTGTTACTATGTATGTTTAGAAGAAGTCACCCGGTTACTAAATGCTTCTTACTTAGGATAATATGGTTATTTTGTGAACTAACCTCTTACAGGAATATTGCCATGTAACAACTGCCATAATAAGAAGGGGTTTTCTTTACCTCCCATAATTTTTTAATATTATGCCCCCTACCCCCCCACCCCTGAATTTAACAAATATGGGTTTGTAAAGATTTGAAGAATAAAATGAAATGTAGGAATTCACACTGTTGTGTTTACCTGATTATGAGTCCCTTTATTCTGGCTCCCTGTCAATCATTGTTATAAGCTCTGCCTTTTGCACCTCTCAGCCAGGAGAGAGAGGAGGGGGGATATAATGTTTATTTCCCCCCTCATCCTATGCAATGCATGCCTGAATTGAACTGGATTGTCATGTCAATTGCTAAATTAGAAACGTACATTTAAGAGACAATGGAGCATCACATGGAAAAAAAATGAATACAAGTTATTGGTAGTTTTTAAGATTTTAGTCTATGTGACAGTTTCTCTTTAAGCCTGGTCATTAAGGGTTTTAATTATCAGACATTTTGCTGTCCTGTTTATTCTTGAAAGGTTTATGCATACAACTCAAGTGCTTGTATTACCAAAATACTTCACTGTTCACAAGAATGGCACATAGCAAAGACAATCACTTAATTTAAAATGATTCCTTTAAATGGTCTAGTTTAGTGAAGAACAGATGTTTTATACCGTCAAGCATTTGAAATTTAGGGATACTTGTATTAGAGATTTTGATTGGATAGCAGTCATTCCAGAACCTTGGAAGGGATTTTGTGAAAGTCAATGTCAAGACTTGGTCCTAAACTTTGACTCTTTTACCCTTGCACTGGTTCTGTGCAGCTTTGCCCAACTACAAAGAAGGAAATGTTAATAATGGAAAGGTTAAAGGATCTTAACATGTATAGCTTGGAGGAAAGACGAGACAGGGGGGGATATGATAGAAACATTTAAATATATAAAGGGTATCAACACAGTAAAGGAGGAGACTATATTTAAAAGAAGAAAAACTACCACAACAAGAGGACATAGTCTTAAATTAGAGGGACAAAGGTTTAAAAATAATATCAGGAAGTATTACTTTACTGAGAGGGTAGTGGATGCATGGAATAGCCTTCCAGCTGAAGTGGTAGAAGTTAACACATTAAAGGAGTTTAAGCATGCGTGGGATAGGCATAAGGCTATCCTAACTATAAGATAAGACTAGGGACTAATGAAAGTATTTAGAAAATTGGGCAGACTAGATGGGCCGAATGGTTCTTATCTGCCGTCACATTCTATGTTTCTATGTTTCTAATGATTTTATAACTTATATATATATGATTATTTATTTCTACTTAGCGTAATTTTCTTTCCCTGGTTATAGGCAGCACAACAATGGGTAGCTCCTCACTATCCCTAATTAGACAGGAACCTAAATAAAACTGAAGGTATAAGTAACCCCTCCTACCCCTCTCACCCTCAGTCTTGTTTCCAGCAATATCCCAGGGTGGAATCTTTGTGCTGGCATGGCCTATGACCAGGAAAAGAAAATTACGGTAAGTTGGAATACATTTCCTTTTTCCTGGTCATATCCATGGCAGCACAACAATGGGTAATACCCGAGTATTAACTAAGGGAGGGAAAAAAAAGACTTCCAAATTATGAATGTAAAGTGAAAAAAACACACCCCTCAAAAGGATATTGGAAATTAAAAACTGATTGCCCACTGTTGCCACATTACCACATTGACCTACTCAAATGTACCAAAGAAAATGTCTGAAAAAGTATTGGTTTAGGAACAAGCAGCCATTTAACCTATAAGTTCCAGGGAAACTTGACCACTGATGCTCAAGAGGGAGAAACGGCTCTAATGGAGAGCTAACAGACCTTCAGGTACTATAACCCCTAGGGCTTACAAGCCTAAAAATAGCCAAGACTATCCATCTGCTGATGGCTTATATAGAGGCATGAAGACCTCTCCTGGATTATTAATAAAGATAGACTATAAGAAGAAAGCCACATAGTGAATCTATAGAAACAGATCTATACACATCTATCTAGGAAAAAGTTTAATTAGAGTTTTCATTAAAATCAATAGGCTTTAAAGGACCACTATAGTGCCAGGAAAACATACTCAGGGACCCCCTCCCGCCCGGCTCTGGAAGGGGGAAAGGGGTTTAAACTTACCTTTTTCCAGCGCTGGGCGGGGAGCTCTCCTCCTCCGATCCTCCTCCTGGGCTGAATGCACACGCGCGGCAAGAGCTGCGCGCGCATTCAGCCCGTCGCATAGGAAAGCATTTACAATGCTTTCCTATGGACGCTTGCGTGCTCTCACTGTGAAAATCACAGTGAGAAGCACGCAAGCGCCTCTAGTGGCTGTCAATGAGACAGCCGCTAGAGGAAACAGGGGAAGGCTTAACCCATTCATAAACATAGCAGTTTCTCTGAAACTGCTATGTTTTTGTTTTGTTTTTTGTGAAAATTTTATTGGAAATTCGCATAGATACATCAATTGTCAGTGGTATTCAAGGTATAGTATAAGAAACAACAAGATACAGTGATGTTAAGGCATGACAATGGCAGTATGGAATGTACAACGGTTGTTATCGGGTCGTCTGACCTTGCATCATGATGATACGTCATAGTTAGCTTGAGTGTGCATTGTACCCAGTTTAACTTATTGCAGAGAGTGGCGATATCCTTATAGTGTCATGAGTGCACCTGACGGTTTTACCTGTGGTGGCGGGTATGCAGCCTAGGGATAGGCTCGGATTGGTGTTGTTTTTGTCGTTGTTCCCCGGACTCTAATTGGTAACTCTAATTAAGGCTAAGTTGCTTTCTCAGCATGAGTATCAGACAAGCAGGATTACATCTGGTGATCCAATAAAGGAAAACCGGGTTTCCATAGCGGGGAGCTTGTCTGACTCTAGGGTGCACGGTGACCATGCGTGGTGCCGAGAAAGTCGCACCATGGTTTCCATGTGGTTGTGTATGTGGAGTATTTGTCTGTGAGGGAGAGGCATGTCTCCTCTAGACCCCTAATAGTGTCGACTTTTTGTATCCATTCTCGGATGGATGGTGGATGTGGGTGCTTCCATAGTGCTGGAATAAGTTGGTTCGCTGCAGAGATCAGATGTGTCAGTAGGCCTGCTGTCGATTTTGGTATGTTTCGGGGGGTGATCAGGAATAGAAAAAGTTCCGGGGTAAAGGGGACATGGGTAGATAGAATCGACTGTATCGTCCCGTGTATGCGCTTCCAGTAGTGTTGAATCACCGGACAAGACCACCAGATGTGGGCGGTGTTGCCTTCGGGTGCATGACACCTCCAACATTGGTGTGGGTGTGTTGGAAATAGGGATCGTAATTTTGTCGGGGTGTAGTGCCATCTCACTACCCTTTTGTAGTTACTCTCCTGGATTGTGGTGTTTCTAGAGGACCTATGGATATGTATGAATATGGTGCGCCACGTTTCTGGTGTGAAAGATGTGTTTAGTTCCTTTTCCCAGGACGAGGTAAAGGCCGGTGGATGGTGAGGCATTGTTTTAGTGATCTTTGTGTACATCTCTGAGATGACTTTCTTCTTTAGGGTATGTTCTTTGCAAAGTGTCTCTAATTGAGTGTGAGGACGGACAGGATTATGTGCCAGTGGCCCTGTGAGTAGGAAGTGTGAGAGTTGTTTGTATTGGAACGTTTGCAGTGCAGTGTGACCCTCTGTTGTAGTCTGCAATGGTTTCACCTGAGTTCCCGTGTCGTCCACAACCTCGGCGAGGCGTAGGTAGTGTGAGTCATGGTACTGCTTGAATGCCCTCCCATTCTCTCCCGGTTGAAAGAGAGGGTTGTGTGTTATTGGATATAACGGGGAAGGGTAAGGTGACATTGTCTGGTGAGTCCTTATCTTGGCCCACATTCGTAAGGTTGGTGAGATTGTGGGATGTGGGGAGTGCAATAAAAATGGCAGTCCTGATTTGTGCCATGGTATTGTGAAGATGGGAGTCCTGAAGAAGGTATTTTCTATGTGTATCCATTGTGCTGTAGGGTGTGGGTGCGTCCAGTCATACAGTCTGGTCAGAAGGACTGCTTGGTGATATCTCTCTAGGTCTGGGAGGCCTAGTCCCCCTTCGTCCTTTGGTCGTGTGAGGAGTGAGTAGGCAAGCCTTGGGTTCTTGTGTGCCCAGATGTAAGTCGTAAGGGTTTTCCGGACCGTTGTGAACCATGACTTAGGTAGAGTAATTGGTAATACTTGCATAACATATAGGAGTCGTGGCAAAACATTCATTTTGAGAATGTTCAGCCTGCAGAACCATCCAAAATGAGGTTTGTTCCAGGTGTTGAGATCTGATTGTATGTTTTTCATCAAACTAGGGAAATTACTCTCAAATAGGTGGGATGCCTCTTTGGTTAAGTGAATACCTAGGTATTTTATCGTGCGGGTCGCCCAAACAAATGGGTGTGTTCGTTGTATAATGTCTGCGTCGAGAGGGGAAATGTTTAGCGGCAGTATCTCGCATTTGCTGAGGTTGGCTTTGAAATTGGAAATTTTGCTAAAAGATTCAATTTCTGCCATTAGGTGAGGTATTGACGACACTGGATCCGAGATTGTGAATAGCATGTCATCTGCAAACACTGCTATCTTATGTTCCGTTGTGCCCGTTGTGATGCCTTTAATCGAGGTTTCGTCTCTAATACCCTGGAGGAAGGGCTCCAGCGCCAGGACAAATAGGAGAGGCGACATGGGACATCCCTGTCTGGTGCCGTTCCTTATTGTCACTGGCTCTGACAATTGGCCATTGACCCTAATGTGCGCTGTGGCGTGTGAGTATATTGCATTGAACCATTTGAGCCAATTTGGGCCGAACCCCATGTATTGTAAAGTGTGTGATAGCATCGTCCAATCTACCCTGTCGAACGCCTTTTCGGCATCAATGGACAGGAGCAAACTGGGGCATCCATCTCTCGTTGCTTTGTGTATGAGGTTTAGCAGTTTTGTGGTGTTGTGTTTGGCTTCCCTGCCAGGGATGAAACCTGACTGGTCTCCATGTATCAGTCCTGGTAACAGCGGTCTGAGTCTGTTGGCCAGGATTTTTGTGAATAATTTTAAGTCGATATTTATCAAGGATATCGGTCTGTAACTGCCGCATTGAGTTAAATCTTTCCCTGGTTTAGGAAGTAGCGTAATCGTTGCGTTCAAGGCCTGTGGGGGGAGAGTGTCTGTTTTGAGTAGAGCATTGAACGTGTTTTGGAAGTGGGGTATGAGCAGAGGAGCAAAAGTCTTGTAATATTTAGCAGTGAGTCCGTCAGGGCCTGGACTTTTCCCTAGTGGAAGCTGTTTGATTACTTGGAGGCATTCGTCTGTGGAAATAGGTTTTTCTAGGGATTCTCGTAGATTGTGTGGTAAGGCTTTGTGGATCCTACGAGATAGGAAATCTCGGATATCTGCTGTCGCTGGGGGGCTTTGTCTTAAATTGTATAGCGAGGAGTAAAAATCTTTGAATTCTGCGAGTATGTCAGTCATTGAGTGTGAGAGTTTACCTTCCTTTGTGCGTATGGCCGCTATGAATGTATGTTCCCGTTGTTTCTGTAGTGCATGGGCCAGCAAGCGCCCGCATTTACCCCCGTGTGTGTAGTAAGTGCATCTTGTCTTGGCTAGGGAGCGTTTGGTATTGATGTCGAGAATTGTATTTAACTCTGTCCTTTTTTCGATTAGTGTCTTAAATGTGGTGAGGTTGAGACCGTTTTTATGTATTCCCTCTAGGCGCCTAATCTCTCTAGTGAGACTAAGTGTGCGAGATTCCCTCGATTTTTTTGAGTCTAGAGGCTGCCTGGATGAACGTACCTCTTATTGTGCTCTTATGTGCTTCCCAAATGATGGGGTAGGTGGATACTGGGTGTGTGTTGAGCTCGAAATACTGTTCCAGGGAGGATTCGGCCTGGTTCCGGATAGTGGTATGGTTAAGTAGGGTATCATTCAGTTTCCACTGTGTCAGAGTGGGATGTAGGGAGGGAATCTGAAGTGAGAGGGAGATTGGTGCGTGATCAGACCACGTGATTGTGTCGTATGTGCAGGAGCGGACTAAGTTCAGAAATCTGTGTGGGAGAAGAAATAAGTCAATTCTCGAATACGAGCCCGAGGAAAATGAGTAATAGGAATAGTCCCGCTCAGCGGGGTGTAGGACGCGCCAACAGTCATAGAGCTGATGCGAGTCCAAAAGTTTCTGGACTTGCACCCGTGTTGAGACTTGGTATGTGGAGGCTTGTGAGGTTGTGTCTAATGCTCCATCTAGGGAGATGTTGAAGTCTCCTCCTAAAATCAACATGCCTTCAGTAAATTGTATCAGCTGCTTGATTATCTTACGTAGGGCTTGGAATTGTTTCCTATTAGGAAGATATATGTTGGCTAGGGTTATTGGGGTTGTGCCCATCAGGCCCTTCAGAAAGATATATCTCCCATTGTCGTCAGATGTGTGTTCTTTGTATGTGAATGGTAGATGCGGGGAAAGGAGAATCGCCACTCCCCGTGACTTCGAGCCTACATAATTGCTAAAGTATCCCTTTGTGTAGTGTCTGGATTTTAGTGAAGGTGCTGAGTCTTTACGGAAGTGTGTCTCTTGTATGAACACCACTTCCGCTTTTGATTTATGGTAGTCTGTGAGAGCCATGTGGCGCTTTTCGGGGGTATTCAGACCCCTAGCATTGTGTGAGAGTATGGAAATTGTTGCCATGGCTGGAGATTTGGGGGAGGGTGGTGTGTAAAAGGTTACTATGGTCGTGTGGGGTGTGTGTTTGTAGTCTATATCTATAGATGTTGCGTGATGCGTACCCTGTATGTATTCGACAGGCCAGGTATAAATTCTTACACCAAAAGGTGTTACAATACTACACAATGTCAATGCGATATACAAATTTTAACAAAACAAGATAAAACAAAACTATATACAATAGATTGTGACGTTAAGTTACCGGTGTTGCTCTTTGGCAACTATAGGAGTATAAATACCTAGGGTCTGCCCCTGAGAAGTCCCGTAGTCTACAGTAGGCAAGGTTGAGATGACCCTGATGTAAGTGGGGGGGGGGGTGAGACTAGGAGCTTGTACACTTTTTTTTTTTAATTAAGTATGATGCAGTGGGCTCCTGGGGCGCTTGGAGCTGAACCGCATCTTGGTTTATTATTGCTTCGTGGAGGTAAGTGTCTTATAAGGCAATGGGGTAGCGTGTGGGTGAGGTCGGCTGACTTTTTTTTCTTTTTTTTTTTTATGGGGGAAGGAGGTATGAGTCGCCCCAGTGGGTCCTAATACCTTTCCCTCCTTTGGGTATCCCTTTATGTCAGGTGTCGGTCTAGTATCCCCTTCTCTGGAC